TTGTTCTCAAGGAAAATTTTGCATCATAAGGCATAAAACTCATAAATTTGATCTAGTGGATTTCTTCACAAATTAAGCCATACTTGTATTTCTCTAGTTTATACATTTCAATAATAATTCATAAATCAATAAACTAATAGATACACAAGCATAAGATAGAATTTTCATAGTTACCTCAAACCTTTAAGAGGTTAAAGGTTTCACCCCTCAACTATTCACTCCCGAAGCTTCTAAGAAGATTGAATGGTGCCAATGGTAATTACACTACAAGTATTTACCATATAAAACATCAATATCTATTTTGAGCTATTTTTCACTAGCATTCTCATCATTTTTTAATACTCAAGTTTTGCTCTAAACTCATGTAGAAGTACCTATAAGGTTTCTTAGCATCCTTTAACTCTCATTTATAACATTAAGCTCTTAAATGGGCATTAATGAAGCCACATTATTCCTAACTACCAAATTTATGAGAATTTTAGATATTTAATGTCCTCCAACCCTCAATCATCATAAAATTATAAATATTAAGTTCACTTAGCTCAATCTACCCCCATTAATTCTATTTAAATCAATGGGTTCAGATCGATAACCTCTATGGACCGAAAATCACTATTAGAAATCAAACCCTAGCCTCTACCATCAAGAAAATGGAAGAAGAGAGGAAGATTTAAGCTAGGAAGCTTACCTTGAGTGTTTATGAGCTCCAAATTAGACCTAACAATCAGTTTTTTCAAACCCTAGCTTAGCCTTTTTGCCACTCCTTCATTCTCTTTTTGTTTTCTCTTCATTTTCACTTCAGATTCGTGACTTAATACTACAAAATTTTGGCCATGCGCCGTGGCGGACGCACAATGCACTGCGGCGCATGGCACAGAGAGCTTCTCCTAGGCATGTTGGCATGCATGCACCACGGCGGACCTACCCCACACCGCAGCGTATGGCACAGAACCACTCCCTTCACAAATTCTTCCTCTTCTATCCTCGGGTGATTTGATTCTCCTTCAGACTTGTGTTTGGTACTGAAATTGAGATCAAACATGCTTGTTAGGCCTCTCTAGCCACATACCTCAAAGATTCACTTTACTAATCTATTTAAGCTTAATTAATTTGGATCTAAAATTAAGGATGTTACACTCACCAGACAAAAAATTCTGGAAAAATAAAAATCCAAAACTCACCCACTTTTAAATGTGGTGAGTGCACATCATGTATCACCTTCCCGTGCTTTAGTTAAGACATGCTCCAATCTAGGTTATTTTATGTACCTTCAGCTTTCAAGTAGGGTCCTCCATGCGCTTATAGGTAGGTCTTACGTGCCACACGTCGCTTTTTATTAAAAAATATTTTTTAATATATAACTTGAATTTTTTTAATTAAAATATGAATTAGGTTTGATTTCCATACCTGACTCGAGGACCCAACCATTGCATTTTTTTGGACTTGGGCTTCTCAGCTCATTGCAAAAATAAAATTAATGCAATTGGGTTTGCCAGCCCAGAGCAAAAAAATTTTTTTTAATGGGTCTAGGATTATGGCCTAAAACTAAAAAGATTTTTTTTATAATTCAATGACACATCAAAAAGACATATCATTTTGAAAAAGGTCATTTCTATCATCTTCAAGCTCCAGCCAAGCTCATTTGACCTGGTTCCTCCAGCAGGTTAGGTCTATTAGACTCAAATCTTCCAAAGGCCATAACTTCTTTGTTTGATCTCTGTTTCATGTGTTCTTGGCATCATTTTCTTTTTTTTTGAGCTCTACATGTTTATACCATCTGTTAGCCTAAACAACCCTTTTCAAACACCCAATTTTTATATGTTTATGATTGGATTTTTTGGCATTGTCTATCACATATAGAACGTATGGGTAACATGTACAACCATATGTAAAACATTTATATCAACCAAGAAGCATATAAAAATGTTGTTTGACTAGAACAATGATAAAAATAGATAAAGGTACATTAAAGAAAAAAAATTAAAACTTGAAAAATAAGGAGTGGATAGATTTGCACATATTTTGAGTAAGCAAATAATAGTCTCATTATCATACATAGAAAATGCAACCTAAGAACATGTAATGCTCTGATGCTAATAATAGATTTTAGAGAAGAAAACTTACCTTATATGATGTATCAGATGAACACCATATGCAAGAACAGAGTTAAGTGGCCAAACTTAGTTCTTGGTTTTTCACAGCAAATACATTCACACAGAGAGAAAGAGAATGGAGGAAGTAGAGAGTGATCGCAAAACTTACATTCCATTCCAAAATGAGAAGCCTACCTTCTAATAAGCAGTATGCACAATGCATATAATGCGAAACGTGTGGGATGTGGTTATCAAACCGTTCCCTCCCTATTTCAAAAATTAAAAGGGAGGAAATTACACTTGAGAACCTGAGAGAATTGCACATTAAGACCTAAGATTTATCATAATTATGACAAAACCTCATCCCTTAATTGGGCTTATATTTAGGCCCAACAAAATCTAAACTTCACATAAAGATTAAACATAACTATTGATGTGGCTCTTTATTTGGATTATCTTCATCATGAATTTGGGGAAGCTATTGTTCATAGTGACATCAAGCCAAGTAATGTTCTTCTTGATTAAAATATTGTTGGACACTTGGGAAATTTTTGATTGGCTAGGATTCTTCATGAAGTTAATAGCTATTCTAGTGGAGATCAAACTACCACTTTGACAATTAAGGGAAGACTATCGGGTATATTCTTCTAGGTATGACTCCTATTATATTGTTGAACCAATGCTTTTTTCAAGAAAAATAAACTTTTTTGCCATGTTGACTGCATAACTTTGATTTATCTTTTGCAATAGGGATATGCAATGGATCATCTACTTAGGCAAGAGATACATGAGGGTAAACATCTCCTCTCTTTGACTGAAGACATACATCTCCATTACTCTAATAGAGAGACTAATCATGTGGCAGATTATCTTATGAAGGAGGCACATAATGTGACTGATCACTTTGTCCTTTTTAATACACCCCTATTAGGTTGTCTTGGTTTCTATCATCTAGATAGAAATGTGTAATCTATTTTGATTGCTTTTCCTAAGAGTTAGGAATTTCCAAGCTTAGGCTTGTCTTGTAATTTCAAAAACATAAAAATGAGAATACACTTGTTTATTTTATTTTACCAAGACTTTTAAATAGAAAGGAAGTTCAATGTTTGTTAAACATAAAGAGATATTGAAAATTTTATTTGTCAAAAGATTATGGAATTGTATTTTTGAATTAAAGTGGAGAAGTTCTTGATTAACTATTTTGATGCAAAGTTGAAATCTAGAATTGTATTTTTGTAAATCTATTTCTAGGTGCTCCCCATAAACTATAGATAAGGCTCTTGTTTTGGTTATGTATACTTGTATGTTTGTTGATAATTAAATTGGTCACACACATGAATTTTTTATAAAGAAAAATGAATTTTTTTTATGTTAAGGTTTAAGGGATTACTCATATTTTTTTGGGAAAATTACAACCAAGGATCGCTAGAGAAAGATATTCACAGCTAAGGACCAATTGAATCTGAAATTACACTATAGTCTAGGAGGTTCTAACTATAATTAATTTGCACTAAGAAAAGATGAAAATGCCCTTAGTGTTAAAAATAAAAAAAATGAGATCGTTAGTTCTAGCTCCCCCTTTGTGACTTCACATAATTGTTTGGTCAGAGGCGGTTTGGCTAAACTGAAGGTAGTTTCCCCATATTTGAGTTTGGGAAAGCTACTCATCTGGTTAATTGAGGTTTGGTGTGTTGCAAAAGCTTGGGCATAGCCGTGGAACGTTGTGTTTGTGAGCATTGTTGGAGTTTGCAAGAAGTAGAAGCCACATTGAACTATAAGTTGGGTTTCTTCAACCTTCTTTGTTTGTAAACCATTACATTATTCCCTCAAAAGAATTTTAAAAAATTTACAAGATCTAAAGCCATAACAACAAGTACCCTTTAAGAAGTTAATAATTGATTGGTTGATATTGACTAGTTGATAATGTGAGTACATGTTGCCTTAGGAAAATAAGCAGTATGTCTTGACTCCTATACTCATTCATTAGTAGGAAAAACAAGTCCATGCTCCTAGAAATATTGAAGTGTCCTATGATGTTTTAGAAGTTTTTAAATTAACAAGTCCCGTTAGTATATCTACAAGTAGTCAATTTGAAATTAACAAGTCCCTTTAGTTAGTTGAGTGTTGTACATGATTAATGAATGCTTATAAAGGAAAGGACAAATTGTAACACTTGCCTTGAGTGTTATCCAAAAATCACATAATTCAAACAAACTAAGTGTGGTTAAGGAGTTGATCCTCTAACCAACTTAAGAAATAAATCATTTAAAACCTTAAAAATAATTATAGGTTCTACCTATAGCGCACGGAAGCAAGTTAGACGAAAATGGAATAAAAAGATGCTGTCATGACAGTAATTTATTGCTGTCATGACAGCCCTCCTGGGCCAACTTCCAGGAGGCGGTGTTCCGTCATTCGACCTCCGATTGAAATGATTTTAAAGCTCACACGTCACATTCAAAGGGTACTATAAGTGTACCAAATTTCAAAAAGATCCAACGGTCGGATTAAAAATTAGACATGTTAAAAGATTGACTATTTTTGCTGTCATGACAGCTAAAAAGCTGTCATGACAGCACTTCCGGACCAACTTCCGGAGTGCACCATTTCATCATCTGACCTCCGATCGGAGTGATTCTAAAGCCCACATGTCACTTTTAAAGAATACTATTAGCATACTAAATTTGAAAAGATCCAACGGACGGATTGAATTTTGTGCAGGTTACAAAATCAACACTGTAGCTGTCATGACAGCAATTTAATGCTGTCATGACAGCACCTCCAGACTAAATTCCGGAGTGCGTCGTTTCTCCGTCCGATATCCGATCGACGTGATTCCAAAGCCCACACGAAGCTTATAAAAGGTTTTACTTGTGACCCAAATTTTAGAGAAATCCAACGGTCGGATTAAGATTTGGACACCCGGATGCAAAAGTGCAGCTTTTTGGTAAAAACCATTTTCAAAATTGTCCAAATCCCATCCTAATGGTCACAAACCTGTGGAAACACTTTGAACACGTCAAATAAGATTAAAAACACTTGATAGAACATTCAAATGATGGAAAACCCCCATACATCAAAATTTGACCACCCGGGTGCCATTTCCCAAAATGGACCCTAAACCCCCAAAATACACAAATCATACAAGAGTGGTCACAAATCAATCCAAATACCATGTATTTATATAAATACATATGCTAAACATTTTCACTTGGCTCAGAGCTCCTTGTGGGGCCCACGCACCCCCTCTCTCTATCCAAGGTGTATGTTTGCCCATAGCACACCATTTGCAATGCAACCACTTTGCATTTGCTTATAAAATCACATATATAACAAAACAAAGATCTGCTTGTAATAGAAACTTGGTCTACTAAGTAAATCCATCAAAACCACACACCATAACCAAGTTTCCTAGCCACAAGTCTGCAAATAGACAAAAATTCATACACAAGCACACAATCCACACATATTCACATACACACACATAATCATATCCTACTGGCACCCTAATCTTAAATACATTACAATATATTTGCTCAAAAGAAAGGGGTTGCAGTTCTTTACAAATCACAAGCAAACCCCTAGCTTTGCTCTTTTCCCCGTCCACCACTGGATCCTTCGCCTGGACCTAGAATATTGAAAAGAAAGGGGTGAGACAACCACAGTCTCAGTAACAGTGAAATCTATATTGATTATTACAAAGTAAGCCATAATTAAATAAATGAATAATAAATTCAACATAGTATATAATTTAGCCATTTAAAATGCATGAATGCATGACCTAGGCCGGTATGGCCTTTCATGACCAACAGAATGCCCCCTGGCACTCTTTAACTCGCAGGTAAACCTTATACCTACTTGTACCTCCACAGGCACAAAACATAATCTAAGGCATGATCTAATCCACCGAACCGCCTATGCCCCTTCGACGTGAATCCTGAGCAGTCAAAGCTAACTCCCTCCCAGAGCCAGCCCGACTTACTCTCCATGTGAGGGCTACCTTGGCCTAGGCACTCAACCTCACACTTCATATGTCGGATTCCCTCCCCCACTGAGAGGTGTCGAACACTCAATACACTAACCACTTTAGTGCACTGAGCCCACAATACGTAAGACAACACTGAGTACTGACAGTGTGCCATAGAATATCAAAAATCCACACCTTCTCATTGGTGAACTCCCACCGAGATCATGCCTTTTACTCTTGTCTACCTTTCCTGAGTATTGACCATTCAACACTCTAAAGTAGTATAATATTTATAAATCTCATTTCCATAAAAACATTGTTATTAAACAATTAGAAAACATATTTGCACTATAATCAAAGTAGTACCCCATAACCCCTTATAAAGCACATTTATTCTTTTAAAACATGTAATGCATGATAACTAGTAATATTTATTCAAAAATAGCTAAAACAAAGTAATAAGAAATATAAATTCCCCTGTTACCTCAACCCTTTGGTACTAAAAGGGTTCCCCTTGTACAAAATAGGGCTCGGCTTGTTCCTTACTTCTCAATAAGTTCCACCAACAATTTTCTACAACATATAAGTGATCCACATCACTTATCATGACAAATAGTATTAATGAAGACTATAACTTATACCACACAACTTAGGTCAATGAGTCATAATCCACCCTAATGGTCCATATATTAAACCAACCATTCACATAGTATCACTTAACCACCAAAACCATTTATTAGCCATTACTAGGCTAATTTTCAATTTATATAATTTTTTATCAATTAAAAACCTTCACTTAGTGTCACCAACTTTCACCATTAGCCCTTATAATGAAAACCAAACCTTAATTTAAATCTTATTGGGTTCAAATAGCAAAATTATAACTAAATCAATAAGCTTAAACCATTGAAGAGCAAAAACCCAATTTCTCAGGATTTATTTTGTGCCCAAAACACCTCTTTTCATCTAATTATCCACTCAAAATATTAGATCACTATATAGAAACTCAAAACATGCTCCCTAGGATCCAAAGAAACAAAAGCTTACAAGAATAAAGCCTTTGGAATCAAAATCCAAAAATCTCCTCTTCTAAAAATTGAAGAAAATCAAGAGAAAGAGAAGAGGATTGAAGTAGGGAGTTTACCTATCGTGTAGCCGAGCTCGCAACGGTCACAAAGACTCCTAGATCCGAGCCTAACTCCCTCTCTTTCTCCTTTCTTCTTCCTCTCTCTCTCTCTCTCTCTCACGTGTTTCCTTTCTTTCCTTGTTTTCTTTTCTGCGTTCTGGTCTGATTTTTCATCTTATAAAAGCTGATTTAAAAGTTTGGGGAAAATTACAAGAAATGGCCCAACATTTTTTTATTATTGCACAAAAGCCCGGGTCAACTTTGGTAATTTTTCCCATAGTTAAAAATCAAATAAAACTAAACTTTTGCTTAGTAAAATTCAAACTCTGGACCTCTATCAAATTATTCTAAATTTTAATTTAATTATAGATATTTTATTTTATTTTTATTTATTTTTTTAAATAAATTTGAGTCTTAAAATTTTTAGGATGTTACACAAATGTTGTTGGTTGTTTGTTGTTTTATTGTGATTGACAAGTATATAATGTTGATGATTTGTCAAAGTGCTCAATATGTAAATGGATACAAAGGACAAGTCCTGTTCTTACTTTGACAAGTATACAATGTGCAAATGACAAGTTCTGTTCTTATGTTTTTTAACAAGTATATAATTTACAAATGACAAGTCCTGTTATTATTTTGACAAGTATAGAATGTGCTTTATTTGTCTAAAGTTTTGATAAAGAATATAACATAAGAAAGACAAGTCCCATTTTTATTTTAACAAGTATATAATGTGAAAATGACAAGTCCCATTATGTCTTACTAGTAAGTATATAATAGGCTTGATTTGAAGTTCTAGACAAGTATATCCTCTTGTAAAGATAAGTCTAGTTAGTATTTTGACAAGTATTGAATCTTAAAATGACAAGTCCTGTTATTATTTTAACAAGTGTAAAATCTATAAGATTTTGACAAGTCTATATTCTGCAAAAGACAAGTCCTGTTAGTATTTTAACAAGTACATAATGTGAAGATAACAAGTCTTGTTAATTTATTTTTAACAAGTATCTAGTACAAATGATTTCTCTAAGTCATGGAATTGTTAATATGTGCGGTGGTAAAAAAATGGTGGACAAAGAAAACAAGGAACATGTGACAGGATTTAAGTTATTTAAGAAGGATTTTTATGCAAATAGGAAAGAAAAGTTTAAGAGCTTCCAAGATGTAGTGGATGGTGTTATACAAGCTTGGAAGAGAATGAGTGAGGAAGAGAAGAAGAAATACAAAGAAATGGCATTGGAAGGAAGAGTAGAAATCCATAAAAAGTACACTCTACCATTCCTAACTAGATGCTCACTTAGTAAGTTTATAGAAGTTGTTGAATATGTTAAGGGAAAAGAAAATTTAAGAGAAAGGGTAGAGAAAATTAGGTTTGGGAGGTTGTTAGATATTGGTTACAGGAGAATTCCTCGAGAACTTGTTACAAAGGTGATTAATGCATATGTTCCACCTACTAAAAGGATTACCATAAGAGGAAAGACTATTAACATTAAGCCAACAGATGTTGAGCTCTTATTGAGGTTACCCGATGAAGGTGAAGAAGCAAAAATAGTTGCTAATAAAAAAGTTATAGGAGAAATGAAGAGAGTTTATTCCCCTCTCTCTTATACTGAAATGAAAAGGAACATAATGTTTGGAGAACATGATAATTCCTTTGAGTTTTTGTTTGTATTATATACATTGGGTACTCTATTATGTCCAAGTGCACGTTTTAGTGCAAGTGATCGTCTATTAAAAGTCATGGCTTGCACCAACAATGTAGGGGCATAATATGATTGGGCCACACTTATTTTCAATAAACTAACAGCTGAAATTGAAAAGTACAAGAAGGCTATTAAAAAGGGAAAGCTTCACGGAACTAAAAATGTTAAAGGCTGTGTGTTCTTCTTACTGGTACATTTGTATTTGTCACTTTTATGAACTAAGTTAGCCTTTTTGAGTTGTGTGTGATGTGTGTTTTCTTTCCCAATATTGTTCCTCTAATATTTCCTATTAGTTAATGGTGGCCCATCCTCAAGTGCTACTTTGAAGCACTAGAATGAGGAAAAAGTGAACAAAAGAGTGGACATAAAGAGGGAGAGCTGCCATGAAATTATATATGTTCCAGGCACTGGTAAGGATACATCTTCAACAAAGTTGCCACCAATAACATCATTTTGTCACCAAGTTGGTATTAAAGTTGAAATTCATAATTTACAATCAGGATGCCACCAATAATAGTGTATGTCTTTTACAGGAGTTAAAGGGAGGCTTATCTAAGGATTAACAGCTATTTCAAAGAGGAAATGATGAAGGTACAAACATTTGTTGTTGAGGAGTTGTTAAAGCTACAAGTAAATAGGGGTGCCTTAGAAAAAGAGAAGGACGGAGATGAGAAGGAAAGAGGGAGTGAGAAAGAAAGAGAGAGTGAGGAGGATAGAGATGAAAAGGAAGGAGAGAGTGAGAAAGAAGAGGAAGAAGAGGATGAAGAAGAACATAAATCTAGAGATAGTGAAGAGGAAGTAGAAAGTGAAGAAGAGGATAAAGGAGAACATAAATCTGAACATAGTAAAGAGGAAGTGGACATGAAGAGGAGGAGGAGAGAAATATAAATCTGGACAAAATGAAGAGGAAGATGATAAAGAAGATGAGAATAACTCAAATGAAGAACAAGGAGAAGGAAGGTTTAAATGAATCATAACACAAGGTTAAAGGTACTCTAAGGAGGTCAAAAAGGGTGAAAAAGCCTAGCATTAGATCTCTATGGTTAGCTTGTATTACTCAAAAGAGGAAAGTAAATGAAAAAGAACATTTATTTGCTTTGTGCTCTGATTTCTATGAAGACGATGAATGACAAAAGTAAGTTATAAACTCATGATATGTGTTAGTACAATTTAAAGTCAATTAGTTACAAATACTGATATGTTATTTTCTACATCCAGGGTGTTTGTCCAGATGTTTGGATACCACCTTACAAGGGCAGAATTGAGAGATCTTGGTCCTGGAAAGTGGATTAATAATAGGGTAATTGTGTCTTAACTTGCATGACATATAATGTCATGTAATATATAGATGTGATATATTTGTATCATGTGCAGATCATGTCAATGATTGCCACAACTCTAGTTGGTGAGCAAAAAGCACAATCTTCTATTGTCAAGCATCACATATTTGATTGTGAGTTCATGGAGAAAATGATCATCAATCCAAAAGCCTGGAGGATGTCTAGCCACTTAAATAAAATAAATCCAGAAAATATTAGTTATAATATAGGAGATTGTAATCTAATGTTTGCACCAGTAATTTTTTCCTTCCATTAGTTCTGCTTTGTTATGGATACAAGGACTTTAAAATTCAACGTGTTGGATTCATTGAAAGGCAGTAAAGGGAATCCATTTAAGAAAAAAATATAGTATCTCGTTGCAAGCATATGATGGCAAGTGTTTGTGCAAGAATCTAATGATTACTATAAATTCTTCTTCTATTTCTAATGACATACATGTAAGGTACTTATAATATGTTTGATGATGTAAAGGCAAAAATTTATTACAATTCTGAGACATGTTAAGCCAAAGATGCCAGCACTATTTGACAAGGATGCTGAGTCTAAAATCATTTAAGCAAATGTTGATTTACAAGAAAAGAAGTGAGCATGTTAACAAGTGTGTTAGAATATGTTACAAAATTAGCAATTGTTATGTTAATTGATAGGAATTACTCGTGTAAATGTAGGGCTGATTATGGGCTTCATGTAATCACATGGTTAAAATGGTGGCCCTATACAAAAGATAAGGACTGGTCAAGCTACACATTACTAAATATTTTAAAGAAGAGCTACTTGCTATGAGGTTTGACCTAGTGTAGTGGTTAGTAGATCATCCCAACAATGAAGTATCTTCAGAGGTCCACTCACTAATCTCTAACATCAAGGCACATACTAAAAGGAAATGATAACTTGTGGAATGTTGTAGTGATGACAATAACATAGGCTTTTTGAGGAAGGACAGTTGAAATGGACATACGTACATAACTTACACTATTCAAAAATGACAATGACTTTGACTGGTGAACAAGTAACCATTCGTGAAATAACAACTCCCACTCCCTATTTAACAACAACTTATTTAGCATGCCAGATTTCATTTCTTATCTGGTGTACAAGTAACCATTCATGAAATAACAACTCCCCTTTCCATTTTAACAAGTTATTCCGTATGACAAATTTGATTCCATTTACTAGAAAAAGGGCAAGGGTATAGGGCTGGTGAGCAAGTCACCATTCCTAAAAACACAACTCCCCCTCCTATTTTAATAACAAGTTATTCTGCAAGGCAAATTTAGTTCTATTTACTAGAAAAGGGGCAAGGGTTTAGGGCTAGTGAATAAGTCACCATTCCTAAAAACACAACTCCCCTTCCTATTTTAACAACAAGTTATTTGGTAAGGTAGATTTGGTTGCATTTAGTACAAAAGGTGTATGGGTCTAGGGTTGGTGAACAAGTCACCATTCGTGAAATAACAACTCCCCCTCCTATTTTAACAAGTTATTCTATAGGATAAATTTAATTCCATTTACTAGAGAAGGTGCAAAGGTCCAAGGCTGGTGAACAAATCACCATTCGTGAAATAACAACTCCCCCTCCTATTTTAATAAGTTATTCTACAGGATAGATTTATTTTCATTTACTGGAAAAGGTGCAAGGGTTCAAGGGTGGTGAACAAGTCACCATTCATGAAATAACAACTCCCCCTCCTATTTTAACAATAAGTTATTCTGCAAGACAGATTTAGTTCCATTTATTAGAAAAGGGGTAAGGGTCTAAGGGTGGTGAATAAGTCACCATTTGTGAAATAACAACTCCCCCTCCTATTGTAAGGAAATTTACTCAAAGCCCAATGATCAATGTCTCCATGCATTTCAAACCATAGTCCTAACTCTAGATAAAAATTGATTAAATTTCCCATTGCCTTGTTGAAGTCAGCATCTAGTCTAGCATATGCAATAGCATCAACCAACTTCAATACCGTGTCTTTTGGGTGTCCACCCTTCCTTTTACCCCTTGTGATTTTCAAATATTCCAAGCTAAAATTCTTCTTCACATGATGATAGCAAAAGGAATGCCTTTGACAACTAAATATGGCCTAAACAGCG